AGTGGTCAGTGCTTGAAGCTCAAGAATTTCACCTGACAAAGACCGCTCAGGTTGTGGTTTGGTGATGACAATAGTTGTGAAGCTTAAGTTTGTGCTTTGAAATGCTTGTAGTGCTATGAAATACTTACGTTTGATGGTAGCTTATGGTGTTGGACGTACATTAGGAGGAGTTTATTTTTTGAGACTGACTAGTCAGTCGAGCTCCCTATTGTTGTTTCTGATGCAGGGAAGTACAAAACGTGCTGAGGTGAGTACAGTGAGTAGTGAGTGAGTAAGCCACTCAGCTTTGCTCAGAGGCAGAAGACTCTACTCGTGGAAAAGGGCATGGCAAAGGCCTTTTGGATTTGAGGTAAGAGTACAAGTTTCTGTTCACGTAAGTATGAAGAGAATATTTTTGATAGTTACTTTCCAGAGTGACATTCCAGTATGAAGGAAAAAAAATAATGCCTGATACTGATCCCTGCTAATCATCGTTGTTAAGTTTAGGCAGACAGGGATGGAGTTACTCTGCAGATACACTATTTATCATGGCTCGGAGCGAGCATGATTAGATTGAGAATCTTAGGTCTCTCTTTCACAATTTTCCAACCCCCTTGGTGTCCTACTAATTAACATGGCCCAGCTTTTTTCTTCTTCTGATTGTACCTCCCAAGACACATTTCTGTGAAGCTTTTTTTCCTCCTACAATTTTGTTGAGATGTTCTAAACTGATTTAATTGTATACAATCTAACTACATTCCTTCTGGTTAGACTTAGCTGGACATCTCACTCAAATTATTTGTGATCTATTCCTAGTTTTCTCATTGGATAGAGCAGGTGGCATATAATTGCTCACAAATGTAGTACTTTTTGTCTCATATTTATTTTCATAGCCTTGAATGTTTTATCAGCGTACTTAGCTAGTAAGGCTCTATGCTTGGAAATAGTGAAGTGTAAGGGAAACAGATGTATTAGATCTTCCATGCAGTGAATCAAAGTCAGGCATTCAGAGGCTGTGAACCCAATGAAATGATTGGGAAAGAATTTCAGTAAATGCGGTAACTGAGTGTGTGAGATGTAGTTTGGCTTTGAATATTACAGAGATTAGAAGCAGGGGAAAAAATACTAAAATGAGGGTGACCGAAAAAAGAAGTACATGGACACCGCAGCAAAGAAATTAGATTTTTCTCCTATAGAAGAAGGAAAAAGATGCAGAACTCTGCGAAGGAGAAATTTTGTGAAGGTTTTGATCAGCAGATGGTACCTGGTGGGAAGGATTTTTTTATCTGTCTTCAAGCATGTGTTGTAGGTGCACGAGCTAAGATAATCTTCTTAAACTTCTACACGCAGATCTATAGTATCTATAGTAATTTGGTCATTCTTAAGAACTGGGCCAGTACCACAGTAGTCTCACAGATTAGTCAGGGATGCTTCAGTACCTTCTGGAGGAGAATCATGGACTATGTTTGTAAAATGTAAAATGGTACAATGATTTGTTTTTAGAACGAAGTGAAATATCTGAAAAAAAATCCAGACAGTGAGATGGATAGCTCAGGGAAACAGCCTCCCAAGCAAATGTTCTTTCATACTTCAAACTTGCCAGAAAAAAATACAAGTAAAAATAAAACTGGTAGGAAGCCGTCTACTGGCTGGGGAGAAGAACCTAGATTTAATAGACTTTTTGTGTCTTTTAACATCTGGATTGAGGGAGTTAATGTGAGCTAGTGGCATTCTGAATCTGCTGATCTGGTGCTAAATCAGGAAAACTGGGAATTCACAAAATGCACAGCTGCACCATTAACATTAGAAGGCAACGTGCGTTGAAACTGGTAGTCACTCACCAAACAACATGAAACTTCTTTGTTAAATTTAAAATGTAATAAAATTGTCAGACTGAAAGAGACCTCAGGAGGGGACTTAAATCATCCCATAATTCATAGCAGATGTCTGTCTAGTCTCGTCCAGTGTTGGAGATGCTACAGCCTCCTGGCTGCTCTGTTCCATTTCCTCATGATCTCAGCAACTTACCTCAAACTCCTTTTCTAGAATGTAAGCTCAGTACTACTGCCCCATCTACTGCAGCCATGGAGCTTATTTGAAGATTGTTACCATGTGTGTCCTACAGCCTGTCTTGCTTATGCTTCCTTCTTTGCCCCACTCCTAGCTTTGAAATCTCTGTATCAAAGAAGGGTTTAAACCCTCCAGCCTTTCCTTATTGGTCATGTTTATGATACGTCTAATCACCCTATTTGCACGGTCAAAACTTTGTTTGTGGGAGCCCACACAGAACTGCAGCTGCAGTCTTACCAAAACTGAGAAAGCAAAATGAAAACTGTTTTGGATATCTACCTATTTGTGTACCTTGGTGTGGCATCTGCTGTTTTCATAACAGCACTACCTCATGGACTCTTGTTCAGGCTGACCCACTGTAATAACCCCTGTGTCTTTCTTAAAACCTGCTATATAGGCTTTATCTCTCTTTCTATGCAGTTGATTATTTATGTCCAAATTTAGAGTTTGCAGTTGTCCCCATAGAAATTTCATCCTGTTTTTTTTTTTTTTTTTCTTCTGTCTGCTTCTTCCATTCGGGTGGTGATTCAGTAGAATTGATGTACTCTCCCAAGTATTCTTTTAAAAAGTATTTAGTGGATAGAATTGCCAAACATCATAAATTGGGACTAATGGCTCATTATGCTGTACCCCAAGGCAATTAAACCTGTACTTCATGTGAAAGGATCTGGATTTTACATGAAGGTAAAAAAAGGAGCACAGATAGTTCTTCCTGATCGTGTAGAAAAGGAGCCCTCTTTGTCTGTGTAACTTAACACGCTTTTTTCAACACTTTTTAATACAAGCCTGAGGCATTCTTAAACACTATTTCTAAACATTTATTCCAAGATATAGCTTTGGTTTATAGCTCATAAGCATCTTGCCTTACATTTCTTAGAGAATGTAGTAGAGAAGAACTAGAACCATTGGTGCAATTAGGTGGCAAGCGGAGCAGAAGTCTTGTCAGTCCTCATTGCTGAGTGTTCCTGTAATGGCTCTCACGGTGGCCGTATTTGTGGTGGAAAGAAATACTTCCTTTTTATTTGTTTGAAATATCTTTTTGGGGTGCAGTTGCTTCATTCTCGCTAGCCAGATCCTCTGAGAGACTTGCACATGTACAAGGAAATTGCCAGTTTAAATGAAGAGCTTTACCTTCAAAATACTTGGCCGGTGTATCTTCAGATGTCAAAAAAAGCTGCTGGCTGTTAGTAACAAGAATTACCTAAGCAGAAATTACTTGCACTGTTACGCCATCTCTCCTTTCCCCAGTTCTTTAAATCTGGGTTAGGTTCACCTTTTCTGTTGTCTCGCTGATAGACTGCGTTGTAACTTTCCAAGAGGGTACTGGACTGCTTGTAGTTTGTGCAGCACCTGAAAGACTTGCTGTGAACAACTGACATACCTGTGGCCTTTGGAACTTGCAACAATACAAATAGAAATGGAAAAACTAATCAGTGGACTGAAATGAAATAGTGGGAAGATTCAGTATGCAGTCGTAAGAATTCAGTTGTGCAACGAAGGATTAGAAGGGAAGATATCAGGAAAGGCAATTTAAGGGCATGGTGACGTTTGAAGTACTCAGTTCTGGATACACAGGATTGTGTTTCCAAATTCTTTCCTCACATACACTATTACTCTTCCGTAAACTTTGATCAGTTTGCTAAATAGGTTTTCCGTAACAAGAAGATACCTTTCTCTTGAAAAATAACAGGTAAAATACCCGATTCTAGGTTGTTCCAAATGTGGGCTTCAGAAATTGAGTATAAGGAACTGTAGTTTGTGAAGTATGCTTTTTCCCCAAGGATCAACAAATAGTTCTTTGCAAAGCAATATAATTAATCAAGAAAAGATTAAACATTGCCTGCCATGTTGTGTTGTCATCACTGTCTTTTTACTGAATGAAATGTTTCTATAACTACATATGATAATATTTTTAGGCTAAATGACTTTTTTACTGGAATGGTTTACCACCTTTATGCGTGAAACCAAATTGACTCCAAGGCAGAGTCTTCTCATTTGAACAAAAAGTATAGTAATCTTTTTCCATGGTTTCTACTTGCTTTGTCCATTGCAGAACTTTTATATTGATATGAGGCCTTCAGGAATGAAATGTTTATGTAATAACACTCAAAGTATTATTGTCAAAGATGTTAAATGCAAAGTTGAATTCAGCAGGGTTGCTCACTTGATACATGTGTGAAGTAAAATCAAGTGTTGATTTTAGTTCAGTTGAAGTATTTCAGCATTGAAGAAGCGGAAGCAAAAGAGAATATGAAGGTAATGGTTGTCAGTATTGCTTACCTTAAGTGGTCACGTTTTACTTCTTAGGTTCTAGAAACATTCTCATGTAATGAAGGAATTTTTTTGGATTTTGGGGGTGGGGGGTGGGCGGCGTTTGTACAAAAGAAAAAGAAGTTGGCCTCTAGACAAACTGGTGATGCGAACTTTACAGTTTTCCTAAACTGAAAATTGTGCTTTAAATACTTTATTTGGAGAGTACTTTCAATTCATGTTTGTGTACACCAATTAAGTTAAAAGAAGTCCAGTTTTTCTGACCAGATATCCATAATGAGTCTCAGAATACATCACTGTGCTGAACTTTCTTTGAACATATTTACTAGAAAATTCATGGACGGGAAAGGAACATAAACTTCATATAACCAAAGGAAAAGCAAATGGCACAAGTACCCTCTTAAAATCCGTGTCCTCAGGATTTGGCATGGGTTGTGCTTCCAGCATGAAAAAACTGCATCCAGCTGATGCCAAACAATACAAATTTGTGGAACATTAAAACCAAACAGTTGGGGGGGGGGGGGGGGGGGTGTTATGTATTGTTGTTTTTATTTAATTAGTGTTGCTTCTGTATGGATTAGTTGTTTTATTCAATTAAGTTGTTCTGTGCCTAATTTGCATGGATGTGATTTATTCTCAGTTTTTGAATAATGTAATAGGGTTCTTTGTTTCATTTGAAGGGGTAGAGGACCACTGAAGAACACATCTGATGTAATTAATGCAGCAAAAATGATTTCAGAGTCAGGATCAAGGATGGATGTCCTAGCACGGCTGATTGCCAATCAGGTAGGTTATTTATGCAGCAGTGTGTTAAACTTTGTCACAGATTAATCCGTCCACAGAACCTCCAACACCCGAGAAGATTGCTTACAAAAGCACTTGTGACATTTTTAGATCTACCTTAGATTTTCCTTTTCCGAATTTCTGAAGTGATGGATCCATAGATCCTGTCTTAATTGAATGCGTGCATTCTCTTCTTCATATATATCAGTGTGTCTGTTTGTATACACTTAAAAACACATAAGTGTATGTGTACTTATATCACAGATGTGTATCTACGTATGTGTATATTTGTGAGCTCCTTTAAGCTATGAATTCAACATTTTAGAGATACAGTATATATGAGCATATATATATATATGTGGAATAATTACTAAAATGATCAGTAATACAGCATTGTTCACACATGAAAGAAGGGTATAAAATCAAAAGGTTTCTAGGGTAGAATACAGCCGCAGCTGGTATGTGAAGAATCCGCTACATCTGCAATTCCCTGTACAATATTGCTTGCAAAGCAACACAGGGAGTGGAGCGGGGTGGAGACTCCACGGCCAAACCCTGTGATAATCCAGCAAACATGGGAATGAGATGGCACCACGGAACTGATGTGCGCTAACTCTAAGAAGAAGAACAGTGCGGAGGATGGAACGGAGTGGAGACACTGCAGCCAAATTCTGTGATAAAATGGGAACCTGAGAGCCAAATGGAACCCTTGAAGGTCTTATGGAACTGATAAATGCCTAATTATTACCCTGAGCCAATGATTTGTCACTTTTTAACAAAATGCTGTCCTTTGGGTGAACTTTGCTCATTATAATGTCATTATAATACCAAAACACACCTCCATCCCAAAGGTTACCTGCCCCTCCTTGAGTCTGCACCCTGAATTTTTTGTAAACTATACCTTTAAATGAGAGGCGAGAGAATTTTATACCAATCATAATAAAAGTATTTATGACTAGAGTCACTCAAACTCCACCTTGAAGGTAAAAAATAGTATAAAAATAGCCCAAGAAAGGGGGAATATCAGGGAAGACACCATCGTGAACAAGTCGAGGAGGACTCCATCGAAGACTGCCTTTGGCTTCTGGGATTAGTCGCCGGGCTGAGCCTCTCCTCCCCTCCATAAGGACGCTTGTGGGTAAGATTCGAACACTTGGCCATACCAAGCACTGCCCCGGGAAACTTGGAAATCTCTATAGAGTTGTTTTATAACTTAGCGCATTTGTAGCCAAGCTATATTACTAACTTCTTTAGTATTCGCGCGTGCTTTGCAGGCAGTCACTATCAATCACCGGCAGTCCAAAAGAACTTGTCTATCTGTTGCTTAAACAAACCGCACTGCGTAGGCAGCGAGTCGTTTGGGTTTCTCACTGAACGTGACCAAAGAGTGGCCGTGCGAGTTCATGAGCACAACTGGGCTGAAGGTGCGGTCCGCTATGAGTGTATCCAGAATCGTGACAGTTTAATATATTAGATGCGCCTGGACTGATGATAGTGGTGAATTGGGCGTCACTCAGAATTTAAACCTAGCCGCCCCTAGCCTCCCACCTCGGTGAGGAGTGTTAGAACGCAAGGGGGTTTATTTTCTGCCAAAACTACTTTGCCCCGTAATGCAACAGTATAAAATACATATATGTATTCATAGGTCCTTTATGAATGCAACTTTTTAGATGTATAGTGTAGTCCATTCTTGACTTTGGGTAAACTACCCAGAAACAACTGGAGTTCTTCAGGTGAGTCAGTTCAGACGTGGGAACACAGGATTGTTGGTTTGGCACCGAGTTCTGCTGAGCGGGCTTACTGTTTTGGACTGGTGCTAGGTCTCAGCACCAGTTACTAAGGTTACTGACTTTTTGTCTCTGTCTTTGAAATTATTTGTTTTCCACCCTATATATGTCACAGAACCTGTGCTTTTGCTGTGCCTAGGTTCTCTTTCCTGTCTCTCACCCCAACACTGGCCGTTTCTTTGGAGTACTGATGTCAAATGGGTTTCCATGTAAATAGCCTTCTGGGTAGTCAGTTTGGCCTCTGCATACCTGCAGTCTTGAGGTGATTGGTTTTTAGCATTTAAAAGAAATACATGGAATCATCAAACACAAAAGGTTAGAGCTATAAGGTGTACTTTATTTCCACTGCATTTTTAAAGCATCAGCTCAAAAAAACCCACCAAAAAACCTCCAACCAGGATCTATATAAATCAATGCACATGCACGTACTCATTTTCCTGGCCAAGACAACTGCATAGTAGCTTAGTAAATAAATACACCAAGCAACACGTCACATGCAGCCCTCTTTACTAGGTACGGTTGGTTGTTTCAGAGCCAGACGGTTCCAATAGAACAGTGCAGTGAAATGTCAGTGTGCAAGCATCGAATCTAAAGCATTTATATATTCCTAGTCTTCATGACTGCCTTTTGGGCACAGGGCAGCAAGGTATGGTCACTGTCTTCCTCACCCTCATACTGTCTCTCTTCCCCTCACTTCTGATTTTCACATACAATGCTTGCTTTTCTAATATCTATGAAGCAGCAACAATCTATTAGTGTTTTCTGTCATACGTCTCTCTGAATTTTGGATAACAAGATAAAGAATTCCAGTTCTCAATCTATACAATTACGATCTGATTTGTGGAAAAACTAGATAAAATATCGAGTCCCCGTTTCTGATCTTGACATATGCTCTTCCAGCACATCTCTTTTTTCTAGAGCATTTAAAAGAAATACTTTCAAGATTTTATCAATTACAAATTAAAATTCAAAACTGTAACTTGTCACCGATGTATTGCAGAAAACAATGTGGTATCAAAGCCAAAGATGAGTAAGGGTCATAATCTCTAGAACAGGGAATCCAGTCTCGACAAAGTGTTTCTTTCCTAAAGTTTTTCTTTTCCTGTATTATTACAGTGACTCCAGACTAGAAACATGAACAAATTAGCGTGAGGAAAAAGCAGCCATGAATCATTAGTGATAATAATCTGTGCGTACCGTCATAGCTGCTGGGAAATGTGACATCATTCAAGTTATTGTAACCTTTTTACTGGATTCACTCAAATTATTTCCATTTCTCCTAACTCAGAGCTTGCACTCAGTTGATACCCTTGAGGCACCTGACCCCTGGTATTTATTCCCTGCACTATCTTGTATGCATCTGAAATAACACTAGTCAGTTACAGCTGTATTTTAGATGTAATTTCACGTTACAAGCACTAGAAGCAAATGAGCATATACAATTAAAAAAAAAATAAAAAAAAACCCCAAACCCCAAACAAAGCAGCTGTCCCACAGTACCTCTGTGGTGAACACAACTACAGTCATTGCTAGAAACATGTCAAACTTGGTAAAAAAAAGAATTTCACCTTTACTCCTGCTATTACAAAGATGCTTAATATGATTCTCTCATTCCTCAGATAGATAGCTGGAAATCTTTTAACTTCTGTAACCTTTTTTCCCCACACCAAATAATTCTTTAACTTTCAGAGCTCTTTTCTCACTGTGGTTTCACTGTGGTTTTGATTATTTTTTTTTTTTTTTTTTTTTTTTTTTTTTTACTCTCCCAAGTTATTTGTAAAGGCCAATAACTTCTTTTCTCAGCTGTTATTTGGGTAAATTTTGTATGCCTTGCTCTCTTGGGGCACTAAAATAAAAGAAACTTTCCATTTCTCTGGGCTGCCTACCTAATTGCTTTTCCCTGAAGTTGGTCCAAACTGAAGAAACCCTTCAAGACTTTGGTGCCCAGACTGCAACGTGAATTCTGATGAGGTTTTATGAGTGCCTTTCTCAGCATCATTAATACTTCTTAGTGGAATATTTCACCTGTTGCCTTTCAGTAACATCTAAAATATGTGGAATTTTTATTCCATGTAAAAATGGATTTGTATGATGTGCTTCTGAAAATAGATAGCTCTATATTGTGCCAATTTTCAAGTAGTATTGGTTACCGCTTCTGGTACTGTCTTTTAATTAGGCCACATCACTTTACTGTTCACAGTAGTCCCATAACTCAGGTGTTACTCTGCCTTTGCAGTTAAGAGACCGCAGTACTGTATGATAGCCTTTTCAGTATTCAAAGCTACATGCAAGGAAGCAAAAACCTCACTCTGGTTCTTCCATCTGGGTTCAAACCTGAGCAAGAACCCAAAATAAGCAATCACTGCCTAATGAGGAATCATTGTTCTATCTCTTTGACCTTTCCTGTTCATAAAACATATTCAAATGAATTATTTTTGGTTCATACTCCATGGAAGTTCAGAGATTCGGAATTGAGGCCTCTGGAATTACATTCTTCATACATATTTGGTTGGTTTTGTTAGAAGGCAAAAAAAAAAACCCACCCCACCTTGAACGTCTATTTGCAGTATTTGATAACTCATCAGCCACAACAGTACCTCTCTGATCCATTGTTCTTTATTTCAGTGTTTTATATATCTCTTCCTGTGTTTGAAACAAGGGGACACAATGTGGTACAATTAGCAGAATTCAGTTATATTTCAGGCCATACTCACAGCACTTTAAGATGACTCAGAGTTAACAACTGTGAAAATAATCAGGTACAGTGTAAACACAAACCTAGGCAAATTAAATACATTCATAATAAATTTAGTTTAAAATAAGATTGTTCCATTGGCAAATTTGTGACCTGAAAACCGTAAGATAATTAAGGTGGTTAGTACATGCTTGTTTTAATGGAATGTGCTGTAGATTAAGATACTTTTTAAAAGCCTCCTCCGTATTCCGATTGTTTTGCACCAGAAGGTCCTGGTCCATTATAATCCCAGTAAGAAAAGGCACTCAGAGTCTGTGAGGTGTCATTTTAAATGCAGTTTGTCAGAGCTAACACTCTGAAAAGTGTTAGCTAATAGTGCAGGAAAGAATAGTGTAGCTAATCTTAGATCCCTTTCAGCGGTAGGAGCGCCGGGTGGCGTAGCATTGAACAGGTCTCCGATCCGCACACAGCATGCTGGGCAGACCCCGTTCATTGAAGATTCCCCCACTTTGGTCATTCGAGGTACTATGGGCTTTTCTTACCAGGAAACAACTTTATTAATCATTTCCACTGTCAAGGGATGTTCACTGGAGAACTTCTTTCTGCAGTCCGAGATAAAGGCAAGGACATGCAGATGGCCTAATCACCAGTACCAAGTGGAAGCTGCCCACAAGCTCCTCTGCTGCCGTGCCTGAGCTAGGGGTGTGCTGTGCCCAAGGGGTTTGTGCACCACAGCACAGCCTGAAGGCCGGGTGATACCTGCAGCGTGGCGCAGCACAGGCCTGGCCCCACTCAGGTTAACTGCTGTGTGGGTCAGTAACTCCTCCGTGTACAGTGGACTCTGGCTCAGGATCAGTGCAATAAAATGGTAACTCCTTTTAAATTCTGGAAGTATAGGGATCCGTGTGAAACATCTCTTTCTACAGAACCAGGTAGTGTCCTGACTTAGAAGCTGATTTCATGTACTTTAAAATAAAGTTTTCCTGAAAGTGAAATTAAAAATGTATCCTTTAAAATGATTAGCAGATAAATATGATCCAAGTGGATGTGCCAAAAAAAACCTTCTGACCACAAGATCGTCTTACCCGAAAGCTTACACTTAACAAGCAGTTGGAAAAACTATACATTTGCGTTTATATAAATATATATTTATATCTATATAAATGGGTCTGTGTGTGATTATATCCAGTATTACTCAACCATGAAGACAGATGATGTAGCGGTAGCAAATTCTAGAGAAATGCTGCTGACTGTTAGCAAAGGAATGAAATCAAAGTAAAGCAAGAACAAAATTGTTGGCAGTCAGAATTTCCTGCAGATTTGTTTGTCTTGATCTTTTGTGCCACTTCTGTCCAATGGCTTTTTCACTGGCATTGTAAATGTTGGTTTCACAGCGTTTGTAATCACTGCATAATTTATCAGATCGCTTTGAGGTTCCTGTGGATATAATTTCCATTAGGTAAAACACCACTGCATCTTTTGGATGCAAGTCAGTTCTGAGCCTGTTATAATGGAAGAGCCTTGTTAACACCCCACTACCTTCAATATGTATGGGGAAGGACCTCTCATAATTCGCCGGGAACTCTAGCTAAGCATGTGAGGCATTAAACCAGTAACTGTCAATTGCCTGTGGGATGATTAAACTCAGAATTTATTAATTGTCCTTCTGTTACAGCCTAGTGTTTGGTTTCACTAGTAAGCAAGTGTTGCTTGTACCAGATGCTTCTTAGCAATTCGTAGAGTATTCCTTATGGAATATCCTCTCTACAGAGTGCATTTCTTACTAACATCTGTTTTGTGGTTGATTTGGATATGCTATAAGGCATGAGGCTTTAATTTTTTTGTAGTGCTCTACTTTATCCTGCTTAAAGTAGTGTAGAATGTTATCTTTACCCTTGTAAATGCCTCTTCTTTGTATTGTGTTGGTCCCTGCCTTGATCATATCGTCTTGTAAAGTTCTATGGGTCAAGTTCATAAAATGAACACACTTGGTCAGACCGTAGGTTCATTTAGGCCAATATCCTGTGGCTGACAATAGTTAATAGTGAATATATACAGTACTCCGCGAGATAATGGCATGTGTTTCATGATACTTCCACAATGTGGTCTCCCAACCTCCAGCAGCCATTCCAGAATTTACTTAACCAAACATAGTTTTGATACCCTTGATACATTAAACAGTCCTTGATATTTTTTCATTGTTTTGTCCAGTCATTTTTTTAAGCCGTGTAGGCTTCCAGTATAACCATTCTGCAACAAAGATTTCTGCAAGTTTACAGTGTTAAAAACCATCTCCTTTGTTTTAAACTCATGCCTAGTTACTTTTAATGGCCTCTTGGATTTGTATTGGAGGAAAGAGTACCTGTCTTCATGACAATCTTTATTGTCCTTGTCCTCTTCTCTCATGTGCCTTGAAATGGGCAAGAGAAGGGAAAGATGCACCATACCTGCACAGGGTAGTAAAACTGTGGATACACCACAGAGTTGTACAGTTGCAGAATTACATTTCAGAAGGCTTTTCCTAATAATGCCTAGCATTTGCTTTTTTTGAGTCTACTGAACCAGTGTTTTCAGAGGACTATTTTAACTTCAAGGTCTTGTTCATGAGTGGCAATTTCCCAGTCTTTGATGCATATCATGTTTAGCATTCCTAAAATGTTACACATTTCTTCTCTAATGGTATGTGAGAAAGATAGTGAATGTGACTGGCCTGCCAATGTTATTACATGAGTACTATATAATAAGGTTAAAAATTCTTGTCTCAACTTCTATAACTGACATCATCACTATTTGAAGTAGATGCGACACTGTATCAGCACCCTCTGTGCCCACCTCTTGAGTTTTTCCACTGGGGGGAGAAAAAAATCACAGTGTATTTAGCAAGAGGAAAAGAAAAAATTGAGGAGCAAGCATTTCGTTCCAGGAGATGCATCCTGTCTAGGTAGAACTCGTTCTGATGCTAAAGGGATTACAGTCATGTTTGACTGGAAGGACAGATTTTTATTAATTAAATAAACAATGAGTATTCCAGTTTTTGAACAGTCACTGAGATGCCAGTATTTAAATACTGATTTGTGCCATTCTTAAAGCAGTGTTGAGTAAGGAAGAAAGGAAGACATATTTTAATATAGTTTTCTGTAATACACTAATACTCTGAAAACATCAAACATAAGAAAGAGAGTAGATCAACAAACTCCTCTATTTTTCTTCTAAACTGTGCCAAGGCACAGAAGATGTTTTCGTAATGAATCTAACAGAATACGAGGCAAGGACTGACATTTAATTCAAATAAATTAATTTAAAATTGTTCACTTTAATGTCTTCATTATTCCCTGTTATCTTTTCCTAAGTCTAAAACATGAACGTGCTTGCTTAACCAAACATTTCTATTCTATTGCATAGTCACAAAGAGTAGAATCATCACACCCCCCTTTTAAACAAGTATCAAGTTCCTTCAGCAAAGCCAGTAGTTTAAGTGTTTCATGAATTAAGTAGAACTGGTGCTTTTCTCTGACTTCTGGCAGGTTTTGGATTTAAATCACTACTGCATTGACCACAGTTCCATAACACCAAAGATTTAGTAAGTGTCCAAAACCATAGATGGTTGTTGCCACTGCAATTGGTGGGAATGTATCTTTTCTTTTTTAATATATAAATAATATATTTGTTTAGAAATACTGCTAAGGGAAGCCCAGCGGTGTTAAATAAAAACTGAATATGGGGAAGTTTAGGATTATTCTGAGTTTCTCTAATTACTTTGTTAAAAAGCTTCACAAGAGGAATGTACTACACAACCTGATACAGCTGCAGTGAAAAGCAAGGCTATACTCGCATACAATTTGAATGCTTCCTAGTGAAGTATTAACCTGCTGTCTGAGACAAGCTGCTGAATGCTTTATTAATTGTTCTTTTCTTAATCTTCAGTGTCCAGACCAATCGTGCAAACAGGATTTACTGGCTTACCTAGAACAGATCAAGCTGTACTCCCATCAGCTCAAAATCTGCAGTCAAGTTAAAGCAGAAATCCAGAACCTAGGTGGAGAGCTTATCATGTCAGCTGTAAGTAGAAGAATGGTATTAATTACTTTGTTAATCAAAATAAATCTTAAATTTAAGTTTTTCTTTCCTGCACTTGTGAGATGTTCCAGTGTAGTCCTGAATCTTGTTTTATTCCCCACTTTTTTTTACAGTCATTTAACACAGAGAATCTAAGACAGTGAAGCGTAAGACCGGTGGCTTAAGAGAAAAAGCAATCACTTTCAGGCTTTTTTTTTCTAGTAGATTCTCAAAACATACTATACTTCACTGTTACTCTGGAGTACTTTGGTTTTAAGAACTGTAACCCATTTTAAGATAGTGGTTCATTTATTTACATATATGGAGTATGCACTAACGTGTGTCTATACAAAAAAGAATTCTCTAGAGATACACTTCCAGTTTAGAAGGATATGATGGACATTCTACATCCCTAAAGAAATAAAGAAAATTAAGAGCAAGGTGACTTGATTCTTGAGTAGATTCTTGATTTTGCCTTAATTTAAGAGTCGTTAGTTCCATTACAGCTAAGTATCATTACCCATGGAAAAGATACTGTTTGTGATTTTGTGGAACTTTTATGCACTTTTCCTCAGTGCATCTGATCACAGGCATTCATATAATGCCTTCACCTTCACATACTCTTTGATTGTTAGTGTTATTACCCGTAGCATATGGAATATGATTTCAACATATAAAATCTGCTAAATGGTATGAAAACCAGGTAACAAAAGCTTGTGACAGCTTCACATTCACATAGTCTGGAATGTATGTATCAGTAATACTGAGAAAAATTTATATGGTTTATAAACTGATCAGAAATGAATCCTATATTGCTGATGTAAGATTTGAAACACTGTATTTGTAGGATATTTTTGCTGGCTGTTAATATTATAATTCGGACACTATATGTAAACCTCTGAAACCTACAGATAAGTAATCTTCAGTTTAATGTATACTTTCTGAAGCAAATACTTGTTTTCACTTGGGTTGTAAATAAAGCAGGTTTATCATAGAATCTTACAATGGTTTAGGTTGGAAAGGATCTTAAAGATCACCTAGTTCTAGTTCCAGCCCCCTGCCATGGGCAGGGCCACCTCCCACTAGACCAGGTTGCTCCAAGTCCTGTCCAACCTGGCCTTGAACACCTCCATGTTGAGCTTCTCATCAACCAACACCCCCAAGTCATCCTCCTCAGGGCTGCTCCCAATCCATTCTCTGCCCAGCCTGTATTTGTGCTTGGGATTGCCCCAACCCATATACAGGACCTTGCACTTGGCCTTGTTGAACTTCATGAGGTTTGCACAGGCCCACCTCTCCAGCCTGTCCACATTTCTCTGGATGGCATCCCTTCTTTCCAGCATGTTGACACAGCTTGGTGTCGTCATCAAACTTGCTGAGGGTGCACTCACTCCCACTGTCCATATTGCCAACAAAGATGTTACACAGCACCAGTCCCAAGTACCGACCCCTGAGGAACGCCACTCGTCACTGGTCTCCACTTGGACATCGAGGTGTTGACCGCAACCCTCTGAGTGCAGCCATCCAGCCCGTTGCTTATCCACTGAGTGGTCCATCCATCAAATCTGCGTCTCTCCAATTTAGAGACAAGGATGTCACGTGGGACAGTGTCAAATGTCTTGCACAAGTTCAGGTAGATGATGTCAGTTGCTCTTCCCTTATCTACCAATGCTATAACGCCATCATAGAAGGCCATGCCATTTCTCATGATTTAGTGAAGCCATGCTGGCTGTTGCCAATTGCCTCCTTATTTTCCATGTGCCTTAGCGTAGTTTCCAGAAGGATCTGCTCCATGATCCTGCCAGGCACATAGGTGAGACTGATGCAGCGTGTAGTTCCCTGGGTCTTCCTTTTTTCCCTTTTTTAAAAATGGGGGTTATATTTCCCCTTTTCCAGTCAGCGGGAACTTCACTGGACTGTCACAACTTCTCAGATATTACGGGTAGCGGCTTGGCAACTTTATCTGCCAGTTCCATTAGGACCTGTGGATGTATTTCATCAGGTCCCATGGATTTGTTCATCGCCAGGTTCTTCAGATGGCCTTGAACCTGATCTTCCTTCTACAAGTCCCTGCCTTTGCCTTCTGCCGCTTGGGTGGTGTGGCTAGTGCACTTGCCAGTGAAGACCAAGGCAAAAAAGTTACTGAGTACCTCAGCCTTCTGCATTATCCTGGGTAACCATGTCACCCCTTTCCTTCCAGAGAGGGCCCACGTTTTCCCTAGTCTTCCCTTTTATCACTGATGTACCTGTAGAAGCTTTTCTTGTTGCCCTTGATGTTCCTGGCCAGATTTAACTCATCTGGGCTTTAGCTTTCTTAACCTGATCCCTGGCTGCTTGGACAATTTCTCTGTATTGCCTCCCAGGCTACCTGTCCTTGCTTCAAACCTCTCTAGGCTTTCTTTTTTGAGTTTTAGTTTCTCCAGGAGCTTCTTAATCCATGCAGGCCTCCTGGTGTTTTTGCCTGACGACTTTTCATTGGGATGCATCACTCTTGAGCATGGAGGAGGTGGTCCTTGAATGTTAACCAGCTTTCTTGGGCCCTTCTTCCCTCCAGGGCTTTATCCCATGGTACTCTGCTGAGCAGAGCCCTGAAGAGGCCAAAGTCTGCTGTCCTGAAGTCCAGGCTAGCGAGCTTACTGTGTGCCCTCCTCGCTGCCCTGAGGATCTTGCCCTTGAGTTTATCTTCATTATCCGTTTCTTCTTTCTTTTTTACAAGCAGTTCTATGAACAGTGTGGGTTAGTAAAGCCAGATTTCATTGTTTCGTGCCCTTTGGGCATGTGTCATCTGCTATCAATCAGTGCTCTCAACTTCCCCATGTTGTCTGTAACTTTCCTCCAATGGTCCCACACAACAGAAATCCATGTATCCCTCTGTGCTCAGAGGTCTTGTTTCAGGACTTCATTCTCCCACTCACCTGCACATAAACTGTTCACATCATCTTTGAGTAGTAGTCCTGTTTACCCCAACTTCTGTGCTTCTAACATGCTCCCCCGATCATGATAGATAGATAAATGATAGATAGATAGATAGAGCGAGCTTTAAATCTGCCAAAGTCCACTACTGCTGTGCAACAAGCAGCAGCGGTGCAGATACTGACTGTGCAGTCAGTGCTGATAGGCTGCTGGCCACCCGCTTTGGAGGCAACAAGAATTGGGCTGTCTTGGTCTTTTGTTCTCTGGGACCTATCATTTGGGACTCTTTTTTCTTTATGCAGTCTCTGATTTTGTGGTCTGGTATTTATTACTTGTCTTTGGCATTCTTGTGTCTGTGTGAAATTTGGAAATACATTACTTAACTAGTAATTTAAAATGTTACTGGAGGACTGACGAAAGAAAAAATGTACAACACAAATAGACAAAGCTTATTTGCTTACAAAACTAGTTAAAACCCACAGCTTCTTGCACATCACAATGTTTATCTGATTTGAATCGTCTACTGCTTTGGCAAGTTTGGATTCGCATGGATCCTTGACCTACAAAAATCTGCATACCTCCTGATACATACGATCTGTAATTTTCCTCATCCTGTTCCCTTTACTGAGTGCAATGGATGGGTGGATTCACTGCAAGAAATTTTGGAAGCCTAGTTTTGTTCTTGCTCTTTTTGTCCTCCCGCTGTAATGATACTCACATTGGTTTCTTTACTATTTTATTGTGTCACCCATATGTCAACAGTGGGGAGTACTTAATCCTGCTGCAGAAATTTTAATTCTAAAAATGAAACCCCAAACTTACCTTCATTCATAATCCCAGAGGGATGACTATGGATCTTACTCCTGTTTCGATGAAGGAGGATGAGGACATGTACTCTGTGTATTCAGAAGTTCCAGTTCAGGAAGGCAGTTACTTGTTCAAATAAATGCTCAACTCAGTTCAGTTCAATAAACGTACTTAAACAGGTGCCTTGCTTGGAGTCAGTGGAAATTAAGAACACACTTAGAGTCCTGGATAGTTTTGGAAGTGTTTTGTTGGAGTCAAGGTGAGATGATGTAAATCGTGGTTGTTACTCTGTTAAAGCAGTTTTGGATGCTTCAACAGTGATTGTATTTTTTTTTTCCAAATACGGGTGATACAGTTAGGCCTATAAAAGAGAGAAAAACTGCCAGCCAATGCTTCAAGAGATCTGTACACTTAACCAAAGCCTTTTAAAGTCAGTGGAGACATACCTGGTTGGCGTCAGTGCTTATAAAAAAAGTTAGAAAATTTTAAAAAAAGTCTCACTGGTCTAAATGTCTGTTATTGGGAAGGGGAGGGCATTCATGATTTACTGCGCTTAACTGTCCCTTTTCAGTTAAAATTGTGTTTATGTGAAAGCGCAACCAAACCATGATGGCTTTCCTATAAGGCTTTTGTCCTAATCTAGATGTAAATTAACTATTTGCATTTGACTTGTTTCAATTCTTGGAGAATATGGTAATTAAAAATATGTTGTATGGATGAAGTGATAAGCAGAGAGGGAGAGAAATTCACTACTGACACAAAATGTTTCATTATAGAATTGCTTTTTTTAAAAGCTGGAGCAAATTCTGGCTTTCAAAGTCCACGTGGGGCTTTAGAATTTGATCATGTAGGTTAGCTGGCCTTGGAAAAAGTGATGATGTTCTGCGTAAGCAAGCACAGAGGTTCTCTCTTTCTACTTCCCCCCACCCCCCCGCACACACACAGAATATCTGCAAGCACAGTAAGGAAAAAACTCGATAGAAAATACGCAGACAGAACATGTGTGCCTTGAGTATCTGTCAAGTATCTGCTCAGGCAGCTGAATTTCACTTTTCTAGCCAAAAGGATTTTTTATGGTTTATGCAACACTACTAAATCTTCAGATTTTGCTCACATAAAATCAATAGCAAAGTTCTTTTTTCAAGGAGTCAGAACTGAGGCTAGAAGAGTAGTATAGTCTCCCCAGTCCTGATCTCTCATTTATCTGTTTATGCTAATAAAGAATGAGAATCAGAAAAAGACATCAGGCAGGATTAAGGAAAAAAAAAAAAAGAGGGTGTGCC